GGCATGGCTATAATTTGTTTAGGCAGGCTCCCAACCAACAAGCCGGACCCCTCTCATGCCTCAATTTCAAGACTAACTTAATTCTCCTATCCTATCGAAGTCTTACCCTAGATTCAGTGCAGACCTTTGGTTTTTTCCCCCCTAAATAACCTAATTGGTTTTGTGCAATTTATGTCTCCTGAAACCATGTTGTTCCCACTGCTGCCTTTACTCAAGGAAACTCTCTCAGCATATCCTAGCTCTGTAGAAAGTCTGATACTGCAACCTAAGTTCCAAGAAGGTAAGTAAGCTGAACCCTAAAGCCTACCCTTGTCGGAAGAGGATATGGTTTTATGACTTGGCCATTACTATGGCAAGCAAGTTCTTGCCCTCAGGCCTGGATTCTGGAAAAGCCAGTGCTTCTAGGAGAGAAAGCTTGCAGGAATTCAGATCCCCAGGAATCTGGATGAAAGTACATGTTGAATGAAACAGGCTGGCCTGCCCGACTTACAGGCTCACACCTATGATCCCAGCACTCTGGGAGGCCAAGGTGGGCAGATCACTTGAGCTCAGGAATTCGAGACCAGTGTGGCCAATATGGTGAAACCCCCTCTCTACTAAAAATATAAAAATTAGCCAGGAGCTCGCACCTGTAATCCCAGCTACTTGGGAGGCTGAGGCGGAAGAATCACTTGAACCTGGGAGGCGGAGGTGGCAGTGAGCCAAGATTGAGCCACTGCCCTCCAGCCTGGGCAACAAAGCAAGACTCTGTCTCAAAAAATAAAAATGAAAGAGAAAATTGAGGTAGCAATTAGTTAACTCCCCAAGATCAACAGTTGGTCAATGATAAAGCTGAAAATTAAATCCAGTCTGGTATGGGGGCCTGCAATCCTAACCACTATACTATACTGCCTGGAAATTGCTTATGTGTCTTCAAACCATGTTTTCTAAGAGTATTTGATGAAAGAGATTAAATATTAATTTTTTTGAGACAAAGTCTCATTCTGTCACCTAGGCTGGAGTGCAGTGGCATGATCATAGCTCACTGCAACCTTGAATTTCTGGGCTCAAGGGATCCTCCCTCCTCAGGCTCCCGAGTAGCTAGGATTACAGATGCACACCAGGGCCACTGCCACCACGCCTGATTTTTTTTTTTTTTAGAGGTGGGGTCTTGCTTTGTTGCCCAGGCTGGTCTCAAACTCCTGTGCTCAAGTCATCCTCCCTCCTCAGCCTCCCAAAGTGCTGGAATTACAAGGCATGAGCTACCATGCCCAGCCAATATTAGTTTTTAAAAATTTTTATAAAGCAGTGTACAACCTACAAGAAAAGATGACTTCAAAAGGTACTTATGACTGGGCATGGTGGCTCACGCCTGTAATCCTAGCATTTTGGGAGGCCAAAGCAGGGGGATCACGAGGTCAAGAGATCAAGACTATCCTGACCAATATGATGAAACCCCGTCTCTACCAAAAATACAAAAATTAGCTGGGCGTGGTGGCATGCTCCTGTAGTCCCAGCTACTCAGGAGGCTGCGGCAGGAGAATCTCTTGAACCCGGGAGGCGGAGGTTGCAGTGAGCAGAGATCGTGTGCCACTGCACTCCAGCCTGGGCGACAGAGCAAGACTCCGTCTCAAAAAAGAAAAAAATGATAATAATAATAGATAGGCTGGGCGTGGAGGCTCACACCTATAATCCCATCACTTTGGGAGGCTGGGGTGGGCAGATCACCTGAGGTCAGGAGTTCAAGACCAGCCTGACCAACATGGAGAAACCCTGTCTCTACTAAAAATACAAAATTAGCCAGATGTGGTGGTGAATGCCTGAAATCCCAGTTATTTGGGAGGCTGAGTCAGGAGAATCGCTTGAACCCAGGAGGTAGAGGTTGTGATGAGCCGAGATCATGCCATTATACTCTAGCCTGGGCAGCAAAAGCAAAACTCCATCTCAAAAAAAAAATTTTTTAATTTAAAAATAATACATATGCACACAAAAAATACTAGAAAGTATTTCACCCAAATAGTAACACGAGTACTGTAGGAGGTAAAATCATGGGTGATTCTTAATTTTCTTTTTTCTATTTTTCTGTATTTTTAAAATTATGTATAAAATCTATGTTTTACCTTTTAATTAAAAAATACTACGCTGGGTGCGGTGGCTCACACCTGTAATCCCAGCACTTTGGGAGGCCGAGGCAGGTGGATCATCTGAGGTCAGGAGTTCGAGACCAGCCTGGCTAACATGGTGAAACCCTGTTTCTACTAAAAATACAAAAAATTAGCCAGGTGTGGTAGAGCATGCCTGTAATCCCAGCTACTTGGGAGGCTGAGGCAGGAGAATTGCTTGACTCTAGGAGGCAGAAGTTGCAGTGAGCCAAAATCATGCCATTATACTCTGGCTTGGGCAACAAGAGCGAAACTCCATCTCAAGAAAAAAAAAAAAAAAAAAAAAAAAAAAAAAAACACTAAAAAGTGTTGCTTTTGAAGAGCATTTTATGAAATGGGGAAAAGCTTGTGATACACTAAGTTTAAAAAGCAGAATATAAAATTATAAGCAAAGTATGGTGCCAAGTCTACAAACAAAAGAAAGACACTATCAAACTATTAAAAGTACTCTTCTTGGCTGGGCGCGGTGGCTCACGCCTGTAATCCCAGCACTTTGGGAGGCCAAGGAGGGCGGATCATGAGGTCATGAGATCGAGACCATCCTAGCTAACATAGTGAAACCCCATCTCTACTAAAAATGTACAAAAAAATTAGCTGGGCATGCTGGCAGGTGTCTGTAGTAGTCCTAGCTACTTGGGAGGCTGAGGCAGGAGAATGGCATGAACCCGGGAGGTGGAGCTTGCAGTGAGCTGAGATCACCCCACTGCATTCCAGCCTGGGCGACAGAGCTAGTCTCCATTTCAAAAAAATTAAAAATAAATAAATAAAAGTACTCTTCTCGACCAGCCTGACCAACATGGTGAAACCCCCCCTCTACTAAAAATACAAAAATTAGCTGGGCGTGGTGGCGGGCGCCTGTAATCCCAGCTACTCGGGAGGCTGAGGCAGGAAAATCATTTGAACCCAGGAAGTGGAGGTTGCAGTGAGTCGAGATTGTGCCATTGTACTCCAGCCTGGGCAACAGAGCAAGATTCCATCTCAAAAAAAAAAAGTACTCTTCTTTTGGTGGTAGATTTTGGATGACTTAAGAGTAATTTAATTTTCTAAATAAACATGCTTTGTGAGGCTTTTCTGTTTTGTTTTGTTTTGTTGGAGACAGGGTCTTGCTCTGTCTTGTTGGAGACAGGGTTAGGCTGGAGTGCAGTGGCGTGAACACAGCTCACCGCAGCCTCAACCTCCCAGGCTCAAGAGATCTTCCCATCTCAGCCTCCTGAATTGCTGGGGCCACAGGCACACACCAACATGCCCAGCTAATTTGATTTTTTGTAGAGACAGGGTCTTACCATCTTGCCCAGGATGGTCTCAAATTCCTGAGCTCAAGCAATCCTCCTACCTCAGCCTCCCAAAGTGCTGGGATTACAGGTGTGACCCACCATGCCTGCCTTAATAAATGTATTTTATTATCAGAAAATTACTCCCTTTTTGAGAAAGCTCAGTCAGACCAGAGTCTCCCTAGCCAAAGCCTATCAGACATATAGCTGAGCAGCTGCCTTCTCTGATCCTAAGGGTATCTGTTTCCCTCTCACTATCCTAAGGAATATGGAGCGTTTTCCCTTTAATTTGTCTTTAGCAAATTTTATAAAGTCAAGAGGCATGGGTATTCTACAGTCCTTTATTGCTAACTCCAAGGTACTCTCAGGCTATTTTTAACACTGGATAAACTGCATATACTGCCAATGCTTTTGCAAGCGGAGATGTGGAAAGAACAGAATATTATTAAGTACTTCTAGCAGTACAGTGCTAAGGAACATAGAATTCTGGGCCTTTCTCATTTAAAACACTAGTTCTGCAAGGCTAGGTAAATTCACAGCAATCTTTTCTCCTTACTACCCCGTAAGAGAAAAAGGAAAATAAAGAGGGATCAACTGGGATCTCTCAGGTTCTATCTGCAGAAACTCAAATGTGACTGCAGGCAGAGCTTGTTTACGAAGTCAGTGTAAAGAAGTCTGGTACAGTAGGAAGAAAAGGTGTTTCGTTGTCGACAGTACCTGCTGCTCAGAGCAAGCCACAAAGAGCAGCAGTGGCAGACAGGAAAGGGTCCTGTGGGCCTCAGGTTTAACACCGTAGGACTCCCAGAGTCTAGTGAAGCCTATTTTCTCACTGATGCCTTTAACTGGTTTAAGATGAAAATCTGGGAAATAAAATAATTCTTTTTTTTTTTTTTTTTTTTTTTCCCTTCAGCAACAGAATAAAGGCCTCAACACTGGTGGGGTTTTTTCTGGGCTTACAGCTAGCGATGTTGACTTCAACCAAAACAGCTGTCAAGACAAAAGACATGCCCCAACCTGTCACACAGACCACAAAACAGAACAAGGGCAGCCAAGAGAGGAGGAATATGAGGCACCAAAAACCATGAACAGATTCAAACTTCTCCCGTCTCCATCCTTTATGCTTGCTTATCTTTCAGGACCAAATGACTGGTAAAATTACTTCCTCAAAAGGTAAGAAGCCTCCCTCCCCTCCAAAATGCAAAATATGCTATTCAAATATAAAGTATCTTTTTATTTTTTTTGGAGACAGAGTTTTGCTCTTGTTGCCCAGGCTGGAGTACAATGGCGTGATAACTGCTCACCGCAACCTCCGCCTCCTGGGTTCAAGCAATTCTCCTGCCTCAGCCTCCCGAGTAGCTGGGATTACAGGCGTGCACCACCACGCCTGGCTAATTTTGTATTTTAAGTAGAGACAGGGTTTCTCCATGTTGGTCAGGCTGGTCTTGAACTCCCAACCTCAGGTGATTCGCCCACCTCAGCCTCCCAAAGTGCTGGGATTACAGGCATGAGCCACCACACCCAGCCTAAAGTACCATTATTATAGTACCCACCACCCCCCAACATCCTCCCAATCTCAGCCCCCACTTACATACGCAAGCAGCAGCGAGGAGACGGCAGGCCAGGTATGGGGGATCACAGCTGGGGAAGGACGGCTGGATGATGTAGTTGGCGAAGGTGATGGCGATGATGGCCTGACTGGTGGGCTCAACAACTAGCAGTGAGACCCACAGGCGGATGAAGGCAATGAAGCCCCCAAAGGCCTCTAGAATATAAGCGTAACTGGCTCCCGACTTGGTGATGGTGGTCCCCAGCTCTGCATAACAAAGGGCACCCACAACAGAGAAGAGCCCACCAATGGCCCACACAATCAGCGACATCCCATAGGAGGCAGTGTGTACCAGCACACCCTTGGGTGAGACGAAGATCCCTGAGCCGATCATGTTGCCCACCACCAGGCTGACCCCATTCAGCAGGGAGATCTCCTTTTTCAGCTGCATACTTTTGGAGGACCTTTGAGGTGGCGAGCTGACATCTTCTTCCACCTGGGACGGGCTGGTGTTAGGGACAAGATGGTAGGTGGGTGTGGGCCTCCCAGGCTCCCTGGCTTCCATGACAAACAGTTCCTGCACACCTGTGTTTACTGTGGCCTGGCAAAGAATACAAGTATGTCAGTCTAGGGCAGGAGCTGGTGAGGCTCTATTTAGACCAGATTTCCCTGCCCACTTCCTATTTAGGGATAGCATGCCATGCACACAGCCCTAACTACAATAGGCCTGTCTCAGTTCCCACCACAGGACACAGGGAAACAGAAGTGGGCAGACCTTCACTGCTCCCAAGAAAGACACCAGGAGAGCTCACGCATGATGTGATGACGACTTCCAATGACAAATACCTGTCTTGCAGCCCAGAGTAGGCTGGCATTAAATTTGTCCAATGATTGGATTCTCCCTGAGTTACAGATTTTTGCTCTGTTCTCACCAGCTTAAAACCCACAAACCTGCCCTGCAGAGAAGACCAGAGTCCCTGCACCTGGTACACAGTCGTCACCAGCCTGAAAGGCTTCTCACTGTCCATACCCAGGTAATCCTGCCCACTCACCTCCACCCAAACATAAACTGGGACTTCTGCAATGTCCAGCGAGACATGGAGACGTCTGCAGCTACTCTCAGGCCAGTACAGAACGTGAGGAGGTGGTGGGAAGGGTGAGGAAGACGCTAAGACAGGCTCATATCATCACTGTAGTGACTAGACCAAGGGGAAGTCCCTCATGAAAATACACGCCTGGCCGGGCACAGTGGCTCCCACCTGTAATCTCAGAATGTTGGGAGGCCGAGGCAGGCGGATCACAAGGTCAGGAGATCGAGACCATCCTAGCCAAAATGGTGAAACCCCGTCTCTACTGAAAATACAAAAATTAGCTGGGCATGGTGACACATACCTGTAATCCCCACTTGAGAGGCTGAGGCAGGAGAATCACTTGAACCAGGGAGTTGGAGGTTGCAGTGAGCCAAGGTCCTACCACTGCACTATAGCCTGGTGACAGAGCGAGACTCGGTCTCAAAAAAAAAAAAAAAAATACATGCCTATGTATCACTGTGTCTGCAACACCTACCTTACTCTCTCACATTGCTGCTTGCCCATTCAACATCTTTCTTTTTCCAAAGTATTCAAAAGAGAGGGGTTAGTAATAAGACAGGGTGGAGAAAGGACATCCAGGGGCATCCCAACCCAGGGCTAATTTGCCATTGGCGTATTTGCTTTCTTCCGCAGCATGCCCCTCGTGTTGGATTCCACATTAACCTACCTAGGAAGGACCCAGAATCTATCAAAGGAAAATCAGCACCTTCTTGACCCTGCACCCAGCGTGACCTTCTCCCTCCCTCAACTCCTATGCCAGTCACACTTCCGATCCCTTGATCCCATCTCATCTTCAGAAGAAATCTGGTGGGCCATTTGATTCCCACCCACGAATTAGTCCTTTAAGGTCACGGAGATAACCTCCAAGAATCAGCAATAGGAACAGGATTAGCAAGCACATCATCTTTCCAGAAGCCTCTTATCTATTCAACAAATGTGTATGTGATGTGCCAAACCTGGCCTCATGGAGCTCAGAGCAAGGAAACCACAGTCAAGGGTGAGTAGTTCTTAGGGAAAATGCTGATCTCCACAGCTGCCACCCAAAACTCCTGCCTTCCCTATCCCAAACCCCTTCGAGTCTGGACCTGAGCCCAAGTGAAAAGGCCCCTCCCAGGCCCCAGTCAAGCCTTCCCCCAGTCCCAGGAGTGCCTACCTCTGCTTCAGTGAGTCTGAGCTTTAAGGCAGCACCACTTTTGCTCTCTCTCTGGCACCAAGTCATGCAGGTTTCCCTACAGAGGCACGTGGAAACATACTTGTTTTCATGTGCCTGTCAGGTGAGCTCCGGCATCCATTAGAACAAAACCAGTAAACAACTGGGGAGCCTATAGTCTCACATAAGAGTCAGGTGCAGAGAGACCTAGGATGCCTTTTCTACCCAAGTCAACATGGAGACCAGCAGAGAAATCTGACCCCAGTGACCAATACAGCTCCCCCTATTCCATCAGACTCTAGCTAGGAGGAGGGATTGGGGTTACTAGGTATTCCCTTTGTATTCATAAAACCTGGCACTGGTGATGCCGATATGGCTTTATCAGGTTTGTCAGATACACTGGTGAAACTACCCAGTGGCCTTATTTGGAGAGATGGGGCACAGTCACAGCCCCACAAGACCTCATGCCTAGGATTTCAGTCGCAGCACCTGAATGAAAGACAAGGTTCCTGCTGGAAGGTTAAGGACTCCTTCTGCCAAGGAGAGTATCAGAATCATACATAACTGAAGGCAGATAAGACTTCTTTCTCTTTCAATCTCTCTCTCTCTCTCTCTTTTTTATTCAAGAGACAGGGTCTCACTTTGTCGCCCAGGCTGGAGTGCAATCATGCAATCGTAGCTCACTGCAGCCTCCAACTCCTAGGCTCAAGCAGTCCTCTATCTCGGCTCCTGAGTAGCTAGGACTACAGTTGCTCGCCACCATGCCCAGCTATTTTTTTTTTTTAATTTGTTTGTAGAGACAGTGTTTCACTATGTTGCCCAGGCTGGTCTTGAACTCCTGGCCTCAACTGATCCTCCTACCTTGGCCTCCTGAAGTGCTCACATTACAGGTGTGAGCCACCATGCCAGGCTTCGTTCTCTTCATTCAGTAACAAAATGCATGCTGGGTGCAGTGGCTCACACCTGTAATCCCAGCACTTTGGGAGGCTGAGGCAGGTGGATCACAAGTCTAAGAGATTGAGACCATCCTGGTCAACATGGTGAAACCCCGTCTCTACTAAAAATACAAAAAAAATTTAGCTGGGCATGATGGCATGCACTTGTAGTCCCAGCTACTCAGGAGGCTGAGGCAGGAGAATCACCTGAACCTGGGAGGCAGAGGTTGCAGTGAGCCGAGATAGCACCACTGCACTCCAGTCTGGTGACAGAGCAAGACTCTGTCTCAAAAAGAAAGAAAGAAAGAGAGAGAGAGAGGAAGGAAGAGAAAGAAAAGAAAAATGCAATTGTTCTCAAGAGCCTGTCCTTGGCAAAAGTAATTAAAGTTCCTACCTGTTTGCTAAACACCCAAGAGCAAACTTGTGATGTAACCCTAGCAGGTCCCAAGAGCACGTGACTAAGTCCTAGGCTGGCTTGGCCACACATACAACCTCAAGGCCATCCCTTACCTCCTCCCCATATCTAAACTTCACCTTGGCAGGGCACAGTGGTGCACACCAATAATCCCAGCACTTTGGGAGGCCAAAGCAGGTGGATCACTTGAGCCCAGGAGACCAGCCTGGGCAATGGCAAAACCCTGTCTACACCACAAAACTACAAAAGTTAGCTGGGCATGGTGGCACACACCTGTAGTCTTAGTTACTCAGGAGGCTGAAGTGGGAGGATCACCTGAGCCCAAGAAGGTTGAGGCTGCAGTGAGCCATGATCACACCACTGCATTCCCACCTGGGTGACAGAGAGAGACCCTGTCTCAAAAAACAAACAACAAAAATTACAAATAAAATGGGGCCAGACATGATGGCTCACGCCTGTAATCCTAGTACTTTGGGAGACCAAGGCCGGAGGATTGCCTGAAGCCAGGAGTTCAAGAGTAGCCTGGGCAACATAGGAAGGCTCCATCTCTACAAAAAAATGAAATAAGAAAAAACTAGGCCAGGGACAGTGGTCCACACCTGTAATCCAGCACTTTGGGAGGCTGAGGCAAGAGGATTGCTTGAGCCTGGGAGTCCGAGACCAGCCCAGACAACATGGCAAGACTCCATCTCTACAAAAATACAAAAATTAGCTGGGCACAGTGGCACACGCCAGCTACTTGGGAGGCTAAGGTGGGAGTATCTCTTGAGCCAAAGTAGTCAGGGCTGCGGTGAGCCATTATCACGCCACTGCATTCCAGCCTGGGCAACAGAGCAAGACTCTGTTTCAAAAAACAAAAAAATCTAGTATAAAATGGAAAGTCCTCAACTTCCACCTTCCACTCAGGATGCATAGCACCATTCCCACTCCAGTGACAAACCATACTTTTTCTTGGAGCCATCAGAAAGCTGAAGTTACAGGGCAACCAACTAGATTGAAATTCATGGGGCCGGGCACGGTGGCTCACACCTGTAATCCCAGCACTTTGGGAGGCTGAGGCGGGTGGATCATGAGGTCAGGAGATCAAGACCATCCTAACTAACACGGTGAAACCCCGTCTCTACTAAAAATACAAAAAATTAGCTGAGCGTGGTGGTGGGCGCCTGTAGTCCCAGCTACTCGGGAGGCTGAGGCAGGAGAATGGTGTGAACTTGGGAGGCGGAGCTTGCAGTGAGCAGAGATCGTGCCACTGCACTCCAGCCTGGGGGACAGAGCCAGACTCCATCTCAAAAAAAAAAAAAAAAAAAAAAAGAAAGAAACTGATGGAAAGATGGCCACCTCCAAGGAGATAGAGAGATACAAGGTCTGGCTCACCTGTGGCAGTGGGAGAAAGATGAGACAACCATTTAGGTGAGTCAGAAGAATTCAGGTAAATTTTTTAAAAAATTACCAAATGTCAAATGTGGGTCAGGAAGAGCCACAGACACTCAGGTTTTTTCCATAGACCTCAGTGGGTACTCATAAGAAATACTGGGCAGGTAACCTGAGAAAACCTCTCTTGGTAGTGCTGGCTTATGGGAGGGAAAATACAAAGGCCAACCTATACCCTTCTTCTCTAAAGAATAAATACCGCTGGGCGCGGTGGCTCAAGCCTATAATCCCAGCACTTTGGGAGGCCGAGACGGGCGGATCACGAGGTCAGGAGATCGAGACCATCCTGGTTAATACGGTGAAACCCTGTCTCTACTAAAAAGTACAAAAAACTAGCCGGGCAAGGTGGCGGGCGCCTGTAGTCCCAGCTACTTGGGAGGCTGAGGGAGGAGAATGGCGTGAACCCGGGAGGCGGAGCTTGCAGTGAGCTGAGATCTGGCCACTGCACTCAAGCCTGGGCGATAGAGCAAGACTCCGTCTCAAAAAAAAAAAAAAAAGAATAAATACCATAAACCCCTGGGAAAGGGCAGCAAACTCTGTCACTCCTGAGGCAGCTGGGGCAGGATAAAAACAAAAACAAAAACAAAATAAAACAAAACAAGACTCTATGCCTGGAGGAGGGGTAGGAAATTCTGGGCAAGACCACTGGAGGTGCTTTCTCCTGGGAAAAGGGCAGGAGCACCCAGAAAGATCCACTCCCAAGACCCAGGGAAACAAACAGGGCCTGCCTAAGACTGAGGCTGAACCAGGACAACAGAGAAATCCCCACTCCCTACCACCAGGTTAGCAAGCACCCAGGAACAAGCAACAGTAGTCTACCACTGAGACTGTGTACTGAGGCATAGGTGCACAGAGAAATCCTAAAGCTGAGGGTGGCTGGACGCAGTGGCTTACACCTGTAATCTCCGGGGGCTAAGGCTGGAGGAACTTGAGGTCAAGAGTTCGAGACCAGCCTGGGCAACATAGCAAGACCCCATCTCTAAAAAAAAAAAAATTAAAAAGTAGCCAGGCATGATGGCACACGCCTGTAGCCCCAGCTATTTACTCAGAAGGCTAAGAGGTAAGTTTGAGCTCAGGAGTTGGAGGCTGCAGTGAACCATGATGGCACTACTGGCACTCCAGTCTGGGTGACAGAGTGAGATGACTGAGTAAGACCTTTTTTTTTCTTTTTTTTTCTTTCTTTTTTTTTTGAGACAGAGTCTTGCTTTGTCACGCAGGCTGGAGTACAGTGGTACGATCTCGGCTCACTGTAACCTCTGCCTCCTGGGTTCAAGGGATTCTCCTGCCTCAGCCTCCAGAGTAGCTGGGACTACAGGTGTGCACTACCATGCCTGGCTAATAAGCTGAGGGTATGGATGGAGGATAACCACTGAGAAAAAGCCTCCCTCCAGCAAACCAACCATAAGCTGGCAAGGAAACACGAGAAGAATTTGAAGCCACGGGTGCACCTAACGTAACCATAGCAGCAATAACACCCAAACACAACTGTCTCCTGACTAGGAGTTCAAACTCCCATAAAAACAGTCTAGCAAAGAAAAGCTGTACCCAGTTCCCAAAATAAATGCTATATACCTCAGTCTCTACTGCTCCACGTACCATATCTGGCAATCAATAACAAGTTACAAGCAACATTAAAAAAGCAAGAAAAACAACCCACTATCAAGAGCTAAAGTAATCAATAGGACCAGACTTAGAGATGACCCAGATAATGAAAACATCAAACAATGAATTTAAAATGATTGTGTTTGATACATTAAAGACTCTACTGAAAATGTTGAACAGCATGAGGAAACAAATGTGGAACTTTAGCAGTGAGATGAAAACCAAAAGGGTTAAAATGGAAAAAGTGAAAAAATAGAACAGAACATCAAGCTGTGGGGCAATACCAAATAGCCTAGGTAAATATTTTTAAAATATATATTTTTGTGTTTTTGTTTTTTGTTTTTTTTTTTTTGAGACAGAGTCTCGCTTTGTCGCCCAGGTTGGAGTGCTGTGGCGCAATCTCGGCTCACTGCAATCTCTGTCTCCCAGGTTCAAGCAATTCTCCTGCCGCAGCCTCCTAAGTAGCTGGGATTACAGGCGTGAGCCACCGCGCCCAGCCCTTTTTTTTTTTTTTTTTTTTTAGACGGAGATTCGCTCGTTGCCCAGGCTGGAGTGTGGTGGCTCGATCTCAGCTCACCGCAACCTCCGCCTCCCAAGTTCAAACAATTCTCCTGCCTCAGCCTCCTGAGTAGCTGGGATTACAGGCACATGTCCCCACACCCAGCTAATTTTTATATTTTTAATAGAGACGGGGTTTCACCACGTTGGCCAGAATGGTCTTGATCTCTTGACCTCGTGATCCGCTCGCCTCGGCCTCCCAAAGTGCTGGGATTACAGGTGAAAGCGATGATGTCCGGCCCCGGCTAATTTTGTATTTTTAGTGGAGACAAGGTTTCTCCATGTTGGTGAGGCTGGTCTCGAACTCCTGACCTCAGGTAATCTGCCCACCTCGACTTCCCAAAGTGCTGGGATTACAGGCGTGCGCCACCGTGCCCAACCACATTTTTGCTCATTTTTAATAACTTTAGAATATAACTGACCACCCAAGACAAAAATAGTAGTAATGTATTATGGGATTATAGCATATTTAAATGTAAAAATGTCAAGCCGGGCACGGTGGCCCACACCTATAATCCTTGCACTTTGGGAGGCTGAGGCAGGGGGAATCATTTGAGCCCAGGAGTTTGAGACCAGCCTGGGCAACACAGCAAGACCCTGTCTCTACAAAAAATACAAAAATTAGCCAGGCATGGTGACGCACGCCTGTAGTCCCAGCTACTCAGGAGGCTAAGACAGGATGATCCCTTGAACCCAGGAGTCAGAGGTTGCACTGAGCTGAGAGATCGCATCACTGCACTCCAGCCTGGGCACTTGAGTGAGACTTGGTCTCTAAAAAAACAAGTGAAATGTCTGGCCAGTCAGTGGGAGGCCAAAAAAGGGAGGGAGGATCACTTGAGGCTGAGTTCCAGACCAGCCTGGGCCACATAGGAAGACCTCTGTCTCTACAAAAGGAAGGAAAGAAAGAAGGAGGGAAGGAGGGAAGGAAAGAAGGAGGGAAGAGGAGGGAAGAGGGAAGGAGGGAAGAAGGGAAGAAGGGAGGAAGGAAGGTGAACTGGCTGTATTAACATCAGACATTTTCTGTCACAGTACTTATTCTTCAGGTAACAATTGATAAAGAAGAATAAATAATGGCAAAAGCTACTAAGACTTGGTTTTGAAGGAATTTGCATTTAATTAATCACAACAGTAGCTACATACATTCCAAAAACAGCAGTGCCTACCTGTGTGAGACGCGTTGTCTATCCTGTCCCCAGAGTAGATCTGCAGACCCTCTGCAACAATGGAATGAAAACCGCTGATTCAAAAGGCCAATAATTAAGACATTACCTCCAGCTAGGCATTATGACAGAGTCATCAAAATTCTACCAGATCACCCTCCTGAATTGGCTATCCTTTCCCTCAACTTTTATCCAATTCATAAGAGAAATTGCTACTTCCAATTAGTTACAGGTGCAATGAAAAAAAAGAGAGAAATTGGTATGTGAGGATCACACACAATATCAATCTCTCTCAGCCTGGGTAACATGGCAAAATCCCATCTCTACCAAAAAAAAACCCACAAAATATTAGGCTGGGTGCAGTAGCTCAAGTCTGTAATCCCAGCACTTTGAGAGGCCAAGGTAAGAGGATGGCTTGAGGCCAGAAGTTTGAGACCAACCTGGGCAACACAGCAAAAACAAAAAAAAAATTTTTTTTTTGAGACAGAATTCTGCTCTTGTTGCCCAGGCTGGAGTGCAATGACGCGATTTTGGCTCACTGCAACCTCCGCCTCCTGGGTTCAAGCGATTCTCCTGCCTCAGCCTTCTGAGTAGCTGGGATTACAGGCCTGCGCCACCATGCCTGGCTAATTTTTTGTATTTAGTAGAGACGGGGTTTCACCATGTTGGTCAGGTTGGTCTTGGACTCCTGGGACCTCAGGAGATCCGCCTGCCTCGGCTTCCCAAAGTGCTAGGATTACAGGCATGAGCCACCGCGCCCAGCCAACAAAAAAATTTAAAAAATTTTTTTTAATTCCTGCAGTCTCCTGCAGCAGGTAATAAAGGAATTTAACAGACTACTAAAATTTCCCCATGAAAATTTAACCACGAAACTGCCACAAGCAATTTTTGGAATAAATGAATTTATCACAATTCAATTACCTCAGAAAATGATAGGATGCAATGGGAGAAGCTCAATTACAAAGGAAGTTTTACAAACTGGATTTGAAACCAAAATTTTTATAATGAATAAAGGAAAAAATGCTATTGAGAATGTTTGGAAAAACTCAAAACCATTTTTACTGTGTACTCTCACACCACAACAATCAACACAGAAGAGTTCTGTGACCAAATGCGGGGGGGAGGGTTCCCCACTAACAAGCAATCATATCTCCCCAGGGACACCAGCTGAGTGTCCTCCAGTTCAATCCCAACACTATCTACCTGGAAACAGCATCAGATCCCACAGCGGAAGGGCTCAGTCGCACAGACTGCCCCTCCCCCACAAGATACCTGGCACAAATCCAGGCCTCCTGAACTTCTGACCGAACTGTTTGAAGTTGGGGCTCCCAAGACCCCTCTTTCAGTTCAATTATTTTGCTAGAACGGCTCACAGAACTCAGAGAAACACTTACTTACATTTACTGGTATATTATAAAGGATGTTACAAAGGATACAGATGAAGAGGTTTGCAGAGCCAGGAAGGGGGAAGGGTCACAGACTTTCCTTGTCCTCCTAGGGAGAAGTACCATCCAGGAACCTCCACGTGTCCAGCTATCCGGAAGCTTCCCAAACCCCCGGCCTCTTGGGTTTTTATGCAGGCTTCATTACATAGGCATGAGTGATTAAGCCACTGGCCATTGGTGATCAACTTAACCTCACCCTCCTCCTTCTCCCCTCCCCCGAGGTTGGGGGTAGGGCTCAAAGTCCCAACCCTCTAATCCTGACTTGGTCTTTCCAGTGACCAGTCCCCATCCTGAAGCTCTCCAGGGGCTGCCAGCCACCAGTCATCAGCATACAAAAATACATTACTTTGGTCTTTCTAAGTATTTTAGGAGTTGTATGCTAGGAAATAGGCTGAAGACCAAAAAATATTTTGCTGTATCACAGAGAAATACATCAAAATATTTTTATTTCCCCCTCTGGTTGAATCAAAATCTTAACTATGATGAAAACACAGAAGACTTTTTCTTATAAAACTCTATGAGTTATGGCCGGGCGCAGTGTCTCACGCCTGTAATCCCAGCATTTTGGGAGGCTGAGGCGGGTGGATCGCCTGAGGTCAGGAGTTCAGGACCAGCCTGGCCAACACAGTGAAAACCCGTCTGTGCTAGAAATATAAAAAATTGTCCAGGCATGATGGTGGGCGCCTATAATCCCAGCTACTCGGGAGGCTGAGGCAGGAGAATCACTTGAGCCTGGGAGGTGGAGGTTGCAGTGATCCGAGATTGCACCATTGCACTCCAGCCTGGGCAACAAGAGCAAAACTCCGTCTCAAAAAAAAAAAAAAAAAAAAATCCACCACAATTGGGAGGCCGAGGCGGGCAGATTACCTGAGCTCAGGAGTTCGTGACCAGCCTGGCCAACATGGTGAAGCCCCGTCTCTACTAAAAATACAATAATTAGCTGGGCATGGTGGCAGGCGCCTGTAATCCCAGCTGCTTGGGAGGCTGAGGCAGAAGAATCGCTTGAACCCGGGAGGCGGAGGTTGCAGTGAGCAGAGATCACGCCACTGCACCCCAGCCTGGGTGACAGAATGATACTCTGTCTCCAAAAAGAAAAAAAAGAAAAAACCCACCCAATTACTCTTTAGAAAGAGTTGTAATATAAATAAATATATAATTTATTTTTATAATAAAGTGTTATTTAACATGTAATACTAAAGAATTGTTAATTATGTGTAAGCCATTCTCTTTACTAGTATTGTGTTCATACTGTATACAAATAAGTAAAAACTCTTTGTAAATCACACAAACAAAAGAAAAGACAGCGCAACAATATTCACCTGTCAAGAAATACGTGAACATCACACTTTCATAAGCCACCTCCTCATAAATGGGTCCAATACTGAGAAGGAAATGAAGTCCCCGCAGGAAGGCCTAATTTCACTTGTCTGCCTTGGCCACATAAACTCTGCAACAAAGAGTGGGAGGGAACTGATCAAAAAATGAACCCTTTTAACCTGAGAAAGCTGATTTAAAAATATATGTATATGTATATTTATGTAATTTTTAAAAATTAACCAAGAAAGCAGCAGAATGATATTTCCTTGTAAAATCTAAATTTTACATGCCCGGCAGGGGCAGTCCTAATTACTGGCAGGTTCCATGACACCCACAGGGTGGGTATAACTGAAGCAGTCAGTCCAAACCTGTCAGAGAACTGGCCTTGTCACATTAAATCATGCATGTCTAGGCAGCTCTGGGGCCCCAGGTCCCGTGGGCACCATTTGCATAACTTTTTTCTTTTTTTTTTTGGAGACAGAGTCTCACTCTGTCGCCCAGGCTACAGTGCAATGGCGCACTCTTGGCTCACTGCAACCTCTGCCTCCTGGGTTCAAGCCATTCTCCTGCCTCAGCCTCCCGAGTAGCTGGGACTACAGGCACCCCCCACCACGCCCGGCTCATCTTTTATATTTTTAGTAGAGACGGGATTTCACTGTGTTAGCCAGAATGGTCTCGATCTCCTGAACTCATGATCCGCCCACCTCGGCCTCCCAAAGTGCTGGGATTACAGGCCTGAGCCACTGTGCCCGCCTGGCCTGCATAACTTTTTTAGAAACTAATCTACATCCAAGAGATTACAGCAGGAAACACAAAGGTCAGCAAATTTCTACTACTAAGAAGTTCCAGGGAGATGGGGATCATAAAACTGGTATATGCCATAAAAATACATCCATGGCCAAATAGGGAAGGAGGACAAGGAGAGGAAGAGAGGAGAAAATCAGGCTGGTGGTTTTCCACACACTTGCCAGGAAAATAAACTCCAGTGTAACGACTTAAATGACGATCTGAGATCAAAGCTGGGAAGCAAAAGCCATCTGCACAGCACACACGGGACCTGAGTAATGCAGGTGGCCTGGGCAGGTCCCCAAAGGGCCTCACCGCCACCAAAAAGAGGTGGAACTGATATCAGGAAGCAGTTACAGCCTTTCAAGTCTGCTCCTCCCAGATCTGAAATCTGGGAACAGCTTTGAGAGATAAGCTCCCGATGGCTGGGCACTGAACTGCCGCCCTGCGAACTGAGCTGGCCCTGGTTTTTTCCCCCATCAAGGGCAGAGACTGAATTCTTTTTAACTGTGTCACCAAGCCCAGGGCATACAAGAGGTACTCAAAAACGTGTTCGCCGACACCCTGATTCCTATTTATACTGACCATTACACAACATGTTTGCTTAGAGCCCAGCAAAGAATTTTCAGAATGTTTCACGTCTATCTCCCCACATTCAGGACGAGAGATAGTCACACAAGATGACAGGCTATGGGGACGCTCAAAAGAGCCATAATCACCGGGGCCACGTGGGTTCCCCAGCGCCAGCAGCCCAACGCTCCAGGCCCCAACACGCCGCAAAACCTTGCGGCATTCTCTAAAGTAAATGGACTGATTTTAAAATGATAATCGTCATTCTTGCGACAGCCCCAGGAAGCCTGGCTCCTGCAGTCCTGAGCCCGCATCTTTCTCCGCCCCACCGCGGCCGCCACACAGCACAGGTTCTCTGTCCTGCAGTCGGAAGCGCAGTCACAGTCCCACTCAGGGTCACCGTCGCACAGTCTCACGCTCGCAGCGCGGCCCGCACACACAGAGTCCCTGTCACCCTGGTACTTGGGGTTTCCCTCTCCGCACACACCCCCGGTCTCCCTCACAACTCGCCGGGTCGCCAGCACACTCCAAGACTGGTTCTCTCGCGGTCACCATCAGCCTCCGGGGCTCGCACCCATACAGCATTTCTCCCACACTCGGCCCTCACGCTCGAGGTCCCTCGCTCCTCGTGTAGCCACCCCTCAGCCGCAGCGCCTCTCGCGCGGCCCCGACCGGCCAGCCCCGCGCCGTTTCTGGGCCGCATCCCGCTCCCGACGGCGGTGGCCAAGACCTAGAGGGTTCGGCTTCCACAGAATGCGGCCCGGCCCCGGCCCCGCTCCCCGCGCGCCCGCCCATGGCCCGGCCCGTTACCTCCCAGTGGCCCGGCGCCGCCAGGATGCTCGGTCGCGCCGCCGTCGCCGCGGCCGCTCAGGCCCCGCCCCGCCACGTCACCCGCCACCGGATCGCGACAGCGCGCGCCGCGTCGGGACACAGTTCCGTGCGGGGCCAGCTGGCGGCGGCGCTTCCAGGCCCCCGTGGCCGCCACGTCCTGGCCGGTACGGGGTCCTCTGGCCCAGACCGTGAGCGTGGACGCCCGACAGCCCCCAGTGGCCTCGCCAGGGCCGGCGCAGCCCGTGACCTGGGCCCGGCCACCCTCGCCGCCCTGGAGTTAGATGGGGCCTCCGGGGGCTTCCACACCGGGACATTCCCGCGGGGAGCTCTCATCGGCCCCCGCACCCTGTTCCTATCTCGCCCTTGACCTGGGCCCGGCGCCCAGGGCGCCCCCTACAGCTCACACAGGGATCCAAACGGCCTCCGCCGCCGCCGGGCCACTGCCACCCTGCGTCTAGGAACCCCGAGAAGACACACACTCTGGGGACTTGTCCAAACACATGCACAGCTCAGACTCGCATCCCTTGAGGCCCCCACACCCACAAAGAAACTGCAGCCTCCCTTGGCCAACCCCAGACCTCCCTGGGGCTCTGTCCTCATCTTCCCAAGAGAGCTGCCACCCCTCTTGGGGGAGCTGCACCTCCTGCCCACTTCTCCTCCGTTTGCTCCTCCATCTTCCTCTCGGGTTCCTTTTCCTCTAGTGTTTCTGGGGCTCTCTTGTCTAGAGCCTCCTGACCTCATGGGCCCCTGAGCCCTCCACCGAAATTTCCTGTCAACACCTCAAGCACTGACTTGGTCCAGGGCCCTGGAGTCTTTTCCCCCAACCTTATGACCACAAGTGCACGTCCTCTGGTTCCAGACCATACCCAAGACCCTGCTCCCTGCCACCCAGTGACAGGGACCCAGCCAGAGATGGGTAGCACCTCAGACCCTTCCTCCCCACTCCTCCCACAGCCTACACCCTGCTTTCTTCTCCCCAGCCACAGTGTCTTCCCAATCCCTTTCCTCCTCCCCTTAACCCATCTCCACAGAGTAGGGGATGCTCCTAAATTACAGATTGCGATGACTTTGTATCTCCCCTGCCTTAAAACCCTTCCATTCTCCTCTCTGCAGGCCTGGATGACAATGCTTGAGGAGCCCTCGCTGGTGCTGCCCTCCTGCCCTCTGCTTGGAACACCTCCCGTGTCAGTGAGTGGACATATATATTTGGATCAATCGAGCTGCACCCTTTGCCTCCCAGATCAGTTCCTCCAGCCTCCCTGGCTGGGCAGAAGTACGACTCTGGACACTTGTGTCAGCACCCAGGCACTTGTCCCTGCCACAGCTTCATATAAGGTATGCCGGCTCAGCTGGGCCTGGTGGCTCACACCTGTAATCCCAGAACTTTGGGAGGCTGAGTCAGGCGGATCACCTGAGGTTGGGAGTTCGAGACCAGCCTGACCAACATGGAGAAACCCCGTCTCTACTAAAAATACAAAATTAGCCTATTGTGGTGGCACATGCCTGTAATTGCAGCTACTTGGGAGACTGAGGCAGGAGAATCGCTTTAACCTGGGAGGCAGAGGTTGCAGTAAGCCGAGATCGCGCCATCGCACTCCAGCCTGGGCGATAAAGAGTGAAACTCCATCTCAAAAAAAAAAAGGAAACAAAAAAAACATATGCCGGCTCCCTCTGGCTTTGCAGTCTCACACCCAGTTACCTAGCCCATCAGCTAAAAGCCCCATGTACACCACACCCTGAATCAGATGTTCTCTAACACCATCAGTGTTCCTCAGGACCACCCTGCAAGATACATTTATTTGTAACCATTCTTTTCTTTTGCATTCAGAGATCTGTTGCCCAGGCTGGAGTGCAATGGCTATTCACAATAGCTCACTGCAGCCTCGAACTCCTGGTTTCAAGCGATCTTCCTGCCTCAGCTTCCTACTTGGGACTACAGATTTATTTTTATTTCATCTTTTTTTTTTTTTTTTTTTGAGACGGAGTCTCGCTCTGTCGCCCAGGCTGGAGCACAGTGGCACGATCTCGGCTCACTGCAAGCTCCGCCTCCCGGGTTCACGCCATTCTCCTGCCTCAGCCTCCCGAATAGCTGGGACTACAGATGCCCGCCACCATGCCTGGCTAATTTTTTGTATTTTTAGTAGAGACGGTGTTTCACCGCGTTAGCCAGGATGGTCTCGATCTCCTGACCTCGTGATCCGCCCGCCTCGGCCTCCCAAAGTGTTGGGATTACAGGCGTGAGCCACCGCGCCCGGCCTTTTTGTTGTTGTTGTTTTTTTTTTTAAGATCTAGCTCACTCTATCTTACCCAGGCTGGAGTACGGTGGCACCATCTTGGCTCACTGCAGCCTCCACCTCCCAGGTTCCAGCGATTCTCCTGTCTCAGTCTCCAGAGTAGCTAGGACTACAACGCAAGTGCCACCACACCTGGCTAATTTTGTATTTTTAGTAGACATGGGGTTTCACCATGTTGGCCAGGCTGGTCTTGAACTCCTGACCTGAGGTGATCCACCCGCCTTGGCCTCCCAAAGTGCTGGGATTACAGGCGCAAACCACGGTGCCTGGCCTATTTCACCTTTAAAGTCTTGCCCAGGCTGGTCTCAAACTCCTGGGCTCAAGCAATCCTCCTGCCTTAGCCTCCTGAGTAGGTGGAACTACAAGCGTGAGCCAATGCACCCAGATGTCCCCATTCTTTGGATGAGGAAACTGAGGGTCAGAAGGCTCCCCAAACAACTTGGCTGTAGCTAGTAGAGCTTTGAACCCTAGTGTGCTAGTCCTAAAGCTGTCTCTGATTCCATGCCCTCTCTCTCTGCAGCTATGAAACTGAGGGTGACAGTGAAGCTAAAATGGGTCAGGGGTGAGTGGGGTGCCATGAGTAGGGGGGTGTCAGGGCCAAGCAGGGAGTGAGGTTGGGCAGGGCCTGGGGTGAAGCTCCCTTTCATGTTGTCATCCTTTTACTGAGGCCAGAGCTGCAGCTGGACCCGAGTATTTTTACCCCAGGCATTTTTACCCCCCGCTGGGTCACCCTGTCCTTCCAGGTTTAGCTAACAGGTGGTTCGGTGAGAGGGTTCAGAGCGCCCCCTTGTGGCCTCTGGTGTATCAAAGCCTGGCACCCCAGCTGGTGGGGCTGAGCGAACACAGAACTGGGTACTGGCTGGGCTCTGGACTACAAAATTCAAGCCAGGACCCTATCCCCTATCCATGTTTCCCTGTCTCTGTCTCTGTTTCTGTCTTTGTCCATACTAGTCTCAGCCCAGTAAAGAAGGGTGCAAAGAAGGGTGGCATCCTAAAAAGAACTCTAGCTTCAAAGGATGCTGACACTTGCAAGCTGAGGGAAGACAGAGGCTGGGAAGGAGGGTCTAGCCAGGTGACCTGCAGGACTGTCCTTGCTCCCAGCTCCTGGGTGGCATGTGGGGCCTGCTGACCAGGCAGAAGCAGGGGGAGGACAGGACCCCATTTCCACAGGAATGTTTCAGGTTCTGGTTCTTAGTCCCAGGAGGGGAACTGGATTCCAGGAGAGAGGGCAGGAGGATGAAGTCCACAGAAGGGCACAAAAACCATGCTTTGATGCTGACAGAACCTGTCAAGGCTCCTGTAAAGGCCCAGCCCCTAATTTCCTGCCTCTCCAGACACCTTGTACCTCCATCACCTCCCTCCCCTCATGCTCAGAGCATTGCGTAGGCCAGGGCACCTTACAGCATCCAGAGTACTTTTATTGCCAGAATCCAGATTCAGCCTGCTCAGAGCCCCATGCGGGGCCCACCACTCAGGAACAAAGGGAGACAGATGCCAGGCATGTATGCAACAGAGAAAATCCAGCTGCACAGAAATCCTGTGGGAGAGCAGCTCAGTCCAGCCTGAAGGTAGCTTTGGCAACCCCACCTAGAGGCTGTACCCTTTTCTCAGCCTGTGGCCAGTCACCCACTTAAAGCCTACTGCCATGAAGGCAGCTCTGACTTTCCATGCCTGCTACCATAGGGAGACCCATGGAGCACCCTGGGGCAGACAGAAAGCCCCTAGGGGGGCCTCAGGGGACCCCTGGCTCTCTCAGGGTCCCACTCAGCCCCGTCCTCAGCCCCATGCTGACCCACTTGGGTACTAGTGAGACCCTAGGGCAGGGTGGCAGTGTGGTGGTGGGGTTAGCAAGAGGTACAGCTCAGGGAAGCTGCGAGCAGCCTTGGCTGCTTCCTTGGATTCCCTTTCTCCACAGGTCCCTAGAAGGCCGTGGCTCCAACCCCTGCTCTCATCCTTGGAACCACAGTCCCAGAGTGAAGGGAGGCAGCTTCAGTCCTGGGGCCAACAGCACATCCGAGGAAATCAGAGCTCCTGGGACACAGCCTTCAGGACTGGGGGCACATCTGCTGCCCAATCCAGAGCTTGACTGCTCCTGGCGGTAAGGGAGGTAGGAGTAGAGTGAAATGTCCCAGGGCCTGGGAACCATGAAGAATGCAACAAACTGCCCCTGCCTGCAGGAGCTACTGGGCTCATCCAGGAAGCCAGTGAGGCTGGCCACCAGCTAAGCCACAGGGAAGCCAGCAGCTCTAGCTACCCATGACCAGTGGCAGGCCTACCTGTGGCTGGTGTGTGGGAAGGGTCACCCGAGGGGCCAGGAGCCCATCCCTGGGACCTCTGGGTACAGGACCACAGCACAGTAACATCCCTCATAGGAAGGCAGCGGGGCCAGGGCCCAGTAGGCAAGTATGAAAAGCCCATAGGAGTAGGGGGACACATGGCCCCAGGTAGGGATTGGGACCAGGGCCCAGCCAGCCCACCCTGTGGAGCCAGTCCTGAGGTCACAGCAATTCCACCATCAGCAGCATTCTTGCCATCCAGTGTCCCTGAGTCCAGACTCTCATTTCTTCCTTCTTCACTGCCACAGAGAAAGGATAACAAACAGCACTTCCCCATGGCAGATGCTTCACAGTCCAAGACTCGGGGCCTTGAATGGTCAGTCACAAACTCTGTGAAACTCATGGCCATGACAGCACCAGAGGCCAAGAGCAGGTCCACAGCTGAGCCATCCAGCCCTGCCTGGCACAGGAGTCAGGGCCCAAGGAGCACACGTTTCAGATAGGTCAGGGTGGTGGCGTTGGCCAGCATCTCGATGTGCTCGCTGCCTGGCAGCTCCTGTAGCAACACTTGGTGCTCCTGGAGGCTCTGCCAGGCCTGGCACTGCAGTGCACTCTTCAAGTTCACAGTACCATCGCCGTCACCAAAGCAGATTTTAGGGTCACGGTCAGGGAAGCTCTCATAGTAGAAGGAGTCTGGTGTGGGGACACCAGTGCCATAGAGGCAGTGCAGTTGCACGCCAGGTGGCATCGTGGCTTCCACCAGCCCTTCTGTGTCCTGCCGCATGAGCCAGCCGTCTTCAAAGCCGATGTCCTGGAAGAACCTGCGGTAGTCCCGCAGTGTGTAGTTGGTCGTGGGCGTCTGCACGAACACCTTCTCAGGTGACCACGTGTAGCTGTAGGGCAGCAGCCAGCTGGTGGAGACAGCTGACCGCTGCTGCTCCCGGATCTTCAGGGGCCCGATGACTGGGATCCGGTTGTTGTCTCCTGCAGGGAGAAGGCTCTGGTCAGTCTGTGCTTAGGAATGCCAGCTGGTTGGGCAGCATGTTCACCACCAGGCCCCTGCCAGGGGCCCAGTCCACAG